CACCCAGGCTTTTGGATAGGAGAGGACCAGCTCCAAATTTCTTTCATGACGTTGTTTCATGCATAATAATTTGCAATCAACTTACTCTTTATTGCAATACGAAAGATTGTTCCATCAAATTGAGACAAAGCTTCAGTGAGTTCATCATCTGTGCTTATAGTTACTTTATCTCCATCAGCATCTATGAATACAATCAAATTAAAATCGTCCATCAATATTTAATGGGAAATGTTCACCTGCATAAGTAACTATAATTTTGTCAGCTTCAAGGTTAGAAAAAACCTGGGCCAGCTTTTGCGTCAAGTAAGTAAAACTTGTCGCAACTTCTTGATCAATTGAGAATCTTCTAGTTTCAAGTGGCTCTGGACGTCCCCAGTTGCCATAGAGAGATGCTTTAACTATCAACGACATAGTCCAATGCTTTAAACTTCTTTATTTCTTCACTCTCAAAAATCTTGATTTTAATTGAATATGAAGTGGTAATGCAAGCTCCCTCATTTTATAATATAAAGTTTGCAGTCTGTATACACGTCATCACTGCTTAGTATGTTTTGAAAAGACTGCTGAATAAGCGTTATGCACTTTTGCACACCATGAACTGTCGTATACTACAGAGCAAGTCTATTTATAGATCTGAGCATGACGTAATGATAAATTCTAATTTTAATAATTTCCTCGGGCCCTCCCGCGGGGTCGGGGTCCTTTTTTAAAGGGTTGCCATAGTAACTAAATTACAAAATGGAGGAAAGTGAGAGCAAAGGATCGGTAGTCCCCGAAGGAGTCGCTCCCGTCTTTCTCTCTGGAGCCACACAACAGATATTTAATGCAGTAGCAGATAATCACGTTACCAGTGAGAATCCTAATATACTAATCACTAAAGCTTCCCTTCTGGAGGATATTAAGAACAGAGCTGCTGTTAGTGACTTTAAGCCACTCAAAGACAAGATACAAGTAAGCATAGACAAACACCTTCATTAGAAGATATAGCAGCCATAATGAGAGACACACATGTCAAATAAAAGAATACATGTACATATAATGTATAATGTATTATTATTTTTACATGTACATGTACATGCTTACTCTACATTTGTACATTATTTTTACATGTATAATGCACTGTAACAATTCTTGAGGCGAGTGAGTAGTATCCCTATAGTAATACTGTGAGAGGAACTGATTTAGTGAGCCACTAGATTTTTGCTAATTATATATTTTTAATAACTGACATTGAGTGGCTTCTTTTCCATGTGATATAACACTTATCATAACAGTGATTGTGACCTTTTTGCTCTTTCTCTTTCTCCCCCCCCCCCTCTCCCTCCATTAGAGCTATGATGGAGAGGAGCTGTTGCTGGTGTATGATTATGACTTCAGGTATGGGGAGAACTTTTATCTCTGTCTCACTGAAGCAGCCAAAGACCTCATACTCAATGTGAGTTGATGAGTAAGAATAATAAAAATAGCTACACGTAACTGGTGAATTTATTACGTACATGTAAATATGAATTTATTATGCGTACATAAATGCCTTCAAAAATTAATACATTAAAAAAAACTATATTGTACTCTAGTAGATGTACATGTACAATACAAATGTTATTCTATAGTCTGTACCTAATGCCAATATTAATGTATAGGCCTGGTTTACACGACGACGACGCTAGCCTAATCTGCATCTAGCCTAATCTGCATCGTTTTTGCTATTACTGTTTTCAGGTGTTTACACTAATCCAGCAGCTGCGTTTTTATTGGACTTTATCATTCGTTTATAGAGTTATCCGTTTTGGTATTCGTTTTTCTTTTGTTCGGATTTGATATGCGTTTTCTTGTGTTTTAGTGTAAATGAGACCCTTATCCGACTAAAAATATATCCGTTTTACTTTAAAACGTATACTATATCCCAGTTGAGTTTGGGACAAGAAAAACTGGAATAACTTTTTATAGGAATGTGGGATAAGGATGAAACTTTCACAGGTTCTTAGTCGCCAAAGTCCATCAAAATCTGTGAAATCTTGGGCCTCTCAGCTCTTGGGAACCCTGAGAACCGGGTTCTCCCTATAAACCCAATGGCATACCAAAATGACGTTTTATGACAGTTTATCTACATCATAGTTTACATAAGCACATGTGGTCAAGCGCCCAAACTGATAATTCTTGTTTTAAAAAGCTAACAGAGCAAGATCTTCTGATAATGATGACCTTTATGAAGACTAGTTGACTCCAATAGCTGTTGTACTGCTTATCAGCAACAGCAAGACTGTTTTAAGAGTGAAACAACACAGCCGCCATTCTTCTATGAATATCATTAAAATATGTCATTTTTGTGATGTAGCTACATTTTTCAAATTCCACGCAGCTGCTTCCACTTCCGTCCCAAACTGTAAACCAGGCCATAATGTGTGTGTTATTTTTTAAATGTGCATGTATGTGTATATTCACTGTACGTACATGTACATATAAATGTATATGTAATACAGTGTGACTTTTATTTCCTCTTTTTTAGCCTCCAGAGGATGTTGTAGGTGATAAAGGAGGTGAAGGAGAAGAGGAAGA